ATTTTTAGGTATAGGAAAAACCTTATATTTAACAATTAATCAAATTTAATACCTGGGTCTTCTGTATTCCGCTCTCAACATTTCGCTGTCTTCCGTATCGTGTTCGTACATGCTTTTCGCCCTGCTGTGCTCGCTCATAAATTTCGAATGCGAATCGTCTTCGAAATCGAATCCTGGCGAATATGGCCCTTTGTAGTTCCGCTGGCTGGAACCTTTATGTTCAGGGCTGGATCTATAAGGGCCATTGTAGACTCTATGAAGGGAAAAGATGCCGATTAGTTCAGACTTGTTTGGCTATTCAACAGCATTTTGATTTTAAATGAAAACTGGTTTTGTGAAGTAGGTACTCAGAGTGTTTGAATGAATGTTGGTCTGATTCGGACTGATTGAAACTCAAAGTGGCAATTACGTGTGAATACGAACATAGGAGTTGGTTTATGGGGGCGTTACCGCCTTAACAGTGAAAGAACGTATTGATTTCATATCCCTGACTGGAACCAATACAATTTTTACATTAACTATGAACAGTTTTGAAGCAAAGGCCATTTCCATGGTGGCACAGTCGACCACTAGTATGAAGTAATGGTAGTGGTAATTGTAGTAACGTAAATAAAAAGCTAAAATGCAACACCACCTACCTTTTCGAACTGAATCTGCAAAATAAAAGATATAAAACGTTAAAAAGACAAGCGTGATGCGATGGGTCAGACACTGTCATGAAATGGCGCCCTTTTGCGATAACCAAGCAACTAAGTCATTTCTAGAACAATAAATCCCAAGAAAATATCCTAGCCAGAAGACGGTGGTACCATCCAGGGGTTTCCAGAACTCCGTGTCAATTGCCATGGTACTACCGCCTTCCTAGAAGCAATTCTTGTGTTAAACTATATCCTAAGAGTCTAGATTTTCTAACATTTTCAAAAAACTCCTTTGAAAATAACGGTTTAAGGCGGTGTAATTCACCAAAGTGATACAAACATAACATACCAGCAGCAACTTTGGTATTTCCTTAAGAATTACCTGCTTCAGCTCCGTATCATTAAGGATTATTATAACTAGTTGAACAATAGAAGATTCCAATTCGCGTGTATGAATCGGTGGAATACATGACATGTAGCATGCATTAAATATCATCAACATTTAACACATTTCTTGAACCATCATAAACAATTGCAAGCCACTAAATCTGCTCGTTATCTATGAAAACTAGACACGAACAGCGGGAAGGCTTGGAACTATTTAGAAAACGTTTTTCTAGCAATCAACACCAATCAAACAGTCTGCTTCGAAATATATTTACAACAGTTGTTTTCCTTTCAATAGAATCTAGTTTTTTTAATTTTTAACACCCAATTCTAGCCGGATGAAATATATACAAATTGGATCCAGAAGTAATTCTGAGATTCGATAGATTATTTACACGTTATTAATTTAACAAACTTTTCAAGTTCAAATTAAAACTTCCTTTGTGGCAAACATTTGATTCCCAGAAACCAGTTGATCGTCCTAATGTATGTCGGACATCGTTCTATTTTATGCTATGAAATAGGCATTCAATAATTCGTAACACAACAGAGCGCCAAACTGTACAAGAACAGAAACTTACTTGGTTAATTCGGCGCAATTTTCGATTAGACACCGAATGGCAATGGCGAGTTGATTAATAATGTCTTTTTCGTTCTTTTTGAACCGTTTGATCGAGTTTGCGATATAAACGGAATCCTGAATTTTGTCCACGTAGTAGGGAAGAATCGCTTCTAAAATCACCTGGAATTTTCGGTTGAAATCTTCATTGGAAATTTGGTAAAGCCCTGAAATGTACTGACCAACATCTGGTAACCTCTGCAACTTTCTGCGGAATACGAAACCACCATGACGCACATGGAAATACAGTCTAACACTGTTACATCGTTGTCTTCGTCGTGATAGCAAAAATCTATTGCGCGAACAGGCTCCTTTACCAATTCGGCTATGTTTAGCGGGTCTGGAGAAGGAGTCTCCAAGCTGATAATAAACACACAAAATTTCACCCACTATGGCCTATTTGAAAAACCCCCACCTTAAAAGCAAGTTAAATAAGCAACTGGACTGGATTTTGTGAGCATTCCCATACGTCCCTTCTTCATCAGTGTCCAACATAGCAGACACCGACCCGAACATTTGCAGAATAAAGGGTTTTCTATTCATGGTGTAAAACTCCTTTACCGCATATTCTATAGTGGTGGTCACTAACTTGTTGGTTTGATGATTGGAGTAGATTTTCAGCAGCGTCGGCATAATTAGCAGATATCTAAAATTTCCGACGCCAACTTTCCAAGTTCATCCGGGGTCACTAAATAAATGGCTCACCCGTTGGTTGAAAAAATATTTTTAAAATGGAACGCAGCATTGATGTACGTTGCCATAACATAGCGAAGTATGCAGGAGTCCTCCGAGTGTAAAATAAGGGCGCCGTTCAGAACGTTCACAAATAAGTGAATATCACCGGAATAGGCAAAGTTCCCGGCCATGGCTTCAAACATGCGAGCTATCAGCCTGACCCACATGAACTTATGCAAAACATCCAAGCCCAGTAACTCTTTGCCCAGCGACCCTCCCTTGTAAAGGTCCAAGTCGGACTCTAAAGCTTTTCTGGGGAATGAGGGAAGCTTCATGAGCTCTTCGTGAAGAAACACCACCCGTTGTACAACCTAAAGCAGCGATGATATTGGACCTCAAAAAACCGAATTGGTGTATAAGAGCTGCTTACCATGTCAACGTTTTTCAATATTGCCCAAGTCAGCAATACTTTTCCGCTTTCGACAAACTTGTGAACCAGCTCTTGCTTCTGCAAGGCATGGAATGCCTTGTCAGGCTCCATATGAACCAGTTCTAACTGCGGGTACTGGGATCGTTTAAAGAAGTAGTAATCTCTCACATAAGCGGACGGATTCCGGATTTGATCTTCAACAAGCGAAACTGTTATTCAAATTTGATGCCGATCGCTGCGTCCTTACGTGTTTTGTAATCGACCAAAAAATATTCATCCTGCTTCTCATCTTCAATGCCGAAAAAATCCAGAGCTTCATGCAGAATCTGGCAAAACTGCGTGTCTTCTTGCACGGGGAATTGTGAAGGTATTCCGCAAGCATCTGGATCTGGAGAACCATGAAAACAATTTCTGGCGACTAACTAGAACGGTTAAAAAACTCTTACCTTGCGGCCCATGCACGATGATCTTTTTGGCAGAAGGCACGTTGGCTGTTAATAGAATAGAAGCATCGCATTGCTCTTTTCTCAATATTTGCTTCAAGTCTTTGAACATTATGCCGTGAACGCTGTGCACAACCTTAAAAGTGTGTTCATTTTCATTGCCCATTTGATTTTGCACAATATTGCTTACCATCCACAAAAGAGATAAGGCGGAGCCTATTAACTTCTGGCCCTCTTCATGTGGGCTTCTAACATAGAACATTACATACCCTATGATGTAATTGTACAAGGCAAAAGCTGCCTGCTGGGGCAATTTGGGAATGAATCGTATGAGATGTCGAAGAATTTTGAACATTTCTTCTTGTTTGTCTCTCGTCAGTCTTTCTAACACATACCTACGGTAAAACCACGCTGTTTTCGTTAAATTTTCATCTAGAGCCTTGAAGGAGCAAACGTGTAACTTTCGTGCATAAAAATTAATAATTGCCTGAGAAAGAGGGCACTGTCTTCAACCAGACATGTCCAGATAACCGAGTAAGCTACTTCGTAGACTGCACATCCATCTGCAGAAACTGCAGCATCGTCCAGAAGGTTTATGATGGATACCACAGCTGAACATAAGCAGGAAGGGAATAAGGAATGAGCGGAATGTAGATGATGGCCAGTACTACGAGTTTGAGTTCCCTCATTATCCTCATTGTCTCCTAGAAATTCATTCAGTTTTTGTTTTGACAATTTTTCGAAGGTTTTCTGTGAAAGGTACCATCTTCAGGGTGTTCCTCGCCAGTGGTATGATAAAGACTGGGCTCGTGCGCGGCCTGCATTGTGATCGGAATTGTGGTGATGAGAAAATTCTCTCGTTCCTCCCTTTTCTTATCGACTTGAGCCTGTAGGGCCATTTTAATCAGTTCAGTTTGTTGTTTTTTTCTTGTTTTAGTAGCAGTTACCAAGGACCTCTAAAATTGTTCAAATATTTAATAAATGAAACGCCAAAGACCCAATTCCAAAAAAGTGGCGCATTTGAGTTTCTTGAAACATTCAAAGTCGTCTGTCTTTTATGCTTATTAACCGACTTTAAATATTTTTTATACAGTTTCTTGCTGGATTCTTTGGCTTTCATTCCAACGACAAAAAATGTTGACTTTTCATTTTTTATGACAAATAATAGAAAAAGATCGAGTTTTGGGTTTTGTTACTATTGTTTCGGCTCATCCTGAGCGTTTCAGTTTAACTTGAAACCAAAATGTAGTAAATTTATGTGAAACTGCGTCTTGTTGTAAACATTTCCTTATTTGAGTCATTGTTTTACCTTAAAAACTAGCAAAATTACAACGCTACAAAATTAAAAAAAAACAGAAAAAAACACAACAAAAGAAGTGAAAAAGTTATTTTTTTGTATTTTTGATTATTGTTATTGTAAAATGATTTGTTTCTGCCGGTCTAAAAAGGCAAGATAAAATTTCGCTTTTTGGTTCCGACAAAGCGAAATTTAGAAAAAATATACTAAAAACTTTTTTGTAGGTGCTTTAATTACGATTTAAAGGCGAACTAAAATCATGTTTAAGGAACAACAAAAATTACTATTTGCTTTCGTTTCCTGGGAAAATATCACGAATTTAGATAGTAGAAGCACGAAAAAAAGAGAGAAGAACTGGAGAACTTTCCTAAACCTTGACTCCCAAAATTTCGTTCAAAAATCGCATTTTAACAGCATTAACACAAACTAGCATAAAACACTTGTAAGATTAAAATCAGAAGCAAATTAATCGTACATGTTTCCTTCACGAAAATATCAAAATTACAAGTTTTAACCGAACTTTTCTACCTTTTTCGAACTAGAAGACACTCACATGTCTTTCCTGATTAATCGTAACTTCTTCTACTTTGGTTTTAACCAGCAATTCCCAAGGAGAATCAACCACATCCAGACACTCTATTCCGATCTTGGGGGATGGAAGCGTGAATTCGATGCCTGGTGGAGGAATTTTGAACAAAGCATGGGCATTTTCCTCCATTCGAGGCCACACTTGAAACCGCATTTTCCACAACACTTGAAATCTGTATCCAGAAAAAAATCGTCACTTTATGGAAGCCAACTTAAAAGTTTGTTCATCACCTTAAAATCGCGTTTATTCTCACAACAGGATCGCTATTAGATAGTCCATGTTGCATAATTTCCGTTACATGAGACGGGGCCTTAACTGAGCCTGAAAGTTTAATTGTGAATCTTCCAATATTTTTCACAAAAATGGGGATTTTACCTAGAATAAACAAAGAGGCAGCTGCTGCTGAAACTTCCTGGTTCATTTCTAGCAACAATTCCCAGACGACTGGAATCAGATCGGCAAAATTCTCTTCTGTAAGAATCACAGCACCTTTAAGCAGAGCGGCCAAGGGCGCATGGAAACCGTCCTTAATCTAGAATGGAAACTGAGAGAATATAGAATTAGAGAATATAGCGCCTTACTTGGGTTTGGATGTATTTCAAGATGGGGGGTGATTCCAAAGGTTTGCTATCATCGATAGTTTTAGATGAACCGTTTCCACCATCCGAGTCTGCAATATCGCGTGATGAATCTTTTGATGCGAGTTTACTCGCTTGGGATCCATTGAAGGTTTTATCAATCCTGCAAAGATTTTCATGCGGAATAAGCAACCAAAAAGTCTAAACTTGCGCTTTTTATTACCTATCTTTTTTTCCCATGCTGTCCTTCCGCCTAATGGGGCTGACTTGGGAGCTAGTTTGATCGGACACTTTTCTGTTATTTTTATCCTTCTTATTGCTCTTCTTCTTCACGTCTGCTTCGTTGGCAAATTTATCATCAATAATGCCGAATTCTTCACCGTACACTTTACGAACGGCTTTTACCAGTCTAGAACATCCTCGCATCACCCGTCGGTGGCAGAATGGATGGCAGAAGTTTTGATGATTGCAGAAGAAGTACATGTTATTCGAAATTTGTACCATTACCTTAAAGAATTAACGCAATTTAATAATTATAATTTTCGAATTTTGTTGACTTTACCTTGAGCCATGGCATGTTCTTTGTTGTATCGTCGCTTTCATTGCTATCGCTTGGACTTTCCGGTGGCTGATCATCACTTAACACTCCCGGTGATTCTTCTCCACTCACTTCCCCAGCCACTCCCGGCTCAGAAGTATCACT